AGCTCATATTAAACACTTGAACTTTTTTATCCAATATAAGATGCCCACTCTGGTAAGTCTTTCATTTATTCATCGAATCCGAACAAACTTCGTGTTTGAGGTTCCCTTATATTCCCCCTACAAACTATATAAGTTGTATTGTACAAAGTTCCGAGTTTTGTAAAAGTTCCCTTATAGGTTCCATTATATTCCCTACAAACTATACAAGTAGCATTGTACAAAGTACCAAGTTTTGAAAAATGATAGTTTGATATACAGTGCTCCGTAAGAATTTCTTTAATGATTCTTAAGTTATTTTTACCTAGTTAGATATCCACAGTTAATAATTTTTGGATGAAAGTTCCTATTAATAATTTCGATTGCTAGACTATCTCAGTATAGTTTTTTTTTGCTTTTTCCGCTTTTTGAGAAGAAAATATCTCCTCTAATAGCCATAGAAAGGTTATGGCCCTACAAACAACTGGGCTGTTCCTTTACTGGCGAAATTGCTTATAATTTCGTTGTCAGAAATTCCGGAAATCTGATTGTATTTAAGGATATTCAGCTTTTCAAGACACTCCATCACCAGTCTGAGTATCACTGCCTGACTATCAGTTAATATGGTTATTATGTTCAAGATTAAGGTTTATTATTATATATGATTATTAATCATATAGTTCATCAAAATAATCTTAAAAAATATAAAAGTATACGTTAGGAATTCTGGATAAAATTTTATTTCACTTAAATTATTTTTAACACATTTTACGTTGTCATTATGATTATTATTAAATGAAACTTGAGCTTTCATATTTTTATTAAATTTCTGCACTGCTTTTGTGATAATAAAAATTTTCACTTCACACAGAAACCTTCACACTTTCATTTCCTTACCGCAAAAAACCGAAACCATTTGATGTTGCATTCATTAGCAAAACCGTTTCGAACCGAATTCACTTCAAAGTGGATGAGAATAATTTTTAATAGCACAATCCTTAATAGCTTTGCTAATCCATTAGCAATATTTATATCTTCATGCATAAATTGACCTTTTCGACTCACATTTCAGTCGAAGTAATTTAATACTCCAAGGTTTTCAACTCAGCCTTCCAATTTGCTTTCGTTAGGCTTGCTTAGGCATTCACTTAGCACATCAGCACTTCAGATAGTTTAATGGTTAACACACAAATATGCCTAATGCAAATCATTTTCGGGATATGTTATATCAATTGACCTTGTTTGTGGAATTTCACTTAAGTTTCCGCAGATATCGATAACGAACGAACATATCCTTGCGAATAATCTGCACTAAGCGCTTTCCTCCAGAGCTTCAAACATCCTCTCATGTGAATTACATTTGGAGCAAAAATGTTAGTTCTAAAGGTTCAGACACATGTGCGGAATATTAATAAACAACAAAAAAATAATACCGAATTACTAAATTTTCTATTAAATATTTAGTTACGTGATTCGTTTTCAAAAATTTGCTGGTAGATTAAAAATATTTTAATAAAAAAAGTAAACAGCACATATAAAGATATATCTATCTAAAATATCTAATTTTTACCACCAAAAAATATTTTTTAGTTTATATTTATGAATTTATGGAATATATAAACATACATATTGTATAAATATACATATTTATATAAATTGGTTGAATATTGGTTCAGTCTACTAGCAACTATACAAATTTTCATCACTGATGATAAATAATAAATACCGCACAGGTAACAATGCAACGAAAACACAATTCAATAGAACTTTCTCAACAATATCTGGAGCGTTCCAGAAAAAATAAATTTGCTATTCGTTTCATCATTATGGACTTAGGCCTACCTACTATTATCGTCAATCAAATCAGTTATCGTCAAGGAGTGGGTACTGAACTCAATTGGACTAGGATAGTTCTTGTTGCATCAGGAAATCGTGGTTTTTCACCGGAAATGTCACATGGCCTCCATGTTGATAACTTTATTGTGGCATAACAGTGGACTCGAAGAGGATACTGCATCTGTATAAAGGGTGGATAACACGTGCTCATATGTAAACCCATTAAATTTAACTCCATTGAAATAGGTGTCGTTATATTCATGTTACGAAGAAAGAGATCAATGTATGCTTCGTAGAATATAGGCTTCTTGATCATATAGCCCCATCAAAATGTTAATCTTTATAGCACGCAAGTAGACATACCAGTATTGCGTAGGTAGTATTAGATTATACTTCTTACTTCAACGCCTACAATACTATTAAAACTTAATAGGTTTTTAGTTATTCAGGTTTTTGCAATAAACGTCCATATTTTTGTTGCAAGTCGTATCAAACCTTATTGTATGAATTTTACCTCCATCAAATAACTTACAATAAATAAAAATTTGTTAGATTTATTATGGTTTGAAATGCTTCGAATAATTTTCATTCAATTTTCGTTGAAGAGATTTCACAAAACGTAAATAGTTCACCTAAGGTACTTAGAGGAATCTATGGCATTGCTCCTCCATTCGTTTCGTTGAATAAAACAAATAATGTCCAGCATCATATGCATTCAGGTTTTAATCCGAGTATTTGCAAATTTAGTTTTGCTCTTCAACAAACCACAACAAAATTTGTAATAGAATTTAAGAATATCGCGGAGGAATGACACATACATTTTAAGTACGTTATTTATGGATCGTTCGAAAAGCGCAACTATTAATTCCATTGCCTATTTTTACTTTAAAATGTTTTTCATTAGAAAGAACATGCATTTAGAATAGATGAATAAGTCTACATGTGAACTTTTTTAGGGTAGGACATTAATGTAAGTTCTTTCATATGTTCAATTGAATATGAATATATCACATATATTTTCATATGTGTATATAGTAAATTTATATACATACATGTACATATGTTGGCTTTTATTTTGTAGTGGGTGGTAGTTAATGCTCAACATTGATATGTAACTCAGACATGTAGACTGGACTTCCTTTGAAATCGGACATATCTCGTAAGTAGATCAGGAAATGTTTAGCTCAAATAGTCATTAAATTAAAATTTCTAATTTATATTGCTTCTATGGAAAAGTAGTATGTGAATATAATGCAATAGTCAGATATTATTAAGATTAAGATTAAAGTATAGCAAGCGTTAAATTAATATGGCAGTTGGTCTACCTGACAAACTCCCTTAGACCTTATGAGACTGTTATATTAACATTGCTTAACACGAGACGGTAAGTGTGTTAATTGTGGAACAGTTACGTGGATCGGAATAAGGATACTATTGTAAGAGTGTCTTAATAGGTAGGACATCTAATATTTTAACTTCCGCAACCCTTATGAGGTTAGCTCTTATAAAGCGTAGAGTGTATTTATTTTTGAGGTGAACACTTTTGTGCGAGGGCATTTCTCGGCACTCTGCTCCTAGCTGAGCTGGGCTTTTGCAAATAATAAACTATAATTGTTTAATTTTGCCAAATAATAATCAAATTCTCGCATCAATAGCACAAATAGACTGATATAATACATACTTAAATATGAAGGAAATATTTTAAAATATACGTCTATATGCTTATAAGTATAAATGTATAAATATACGTTTAAATTATGTTGTATGTTTTCATAGGTAAAAAAATTGGTTGAATATCTTATTTTGTGCTCCTATATGAAATGAAAAACATTTTGTAAAAGTAATAAAAATGTTATTAAAATATCTTAAAACTAAAAATTTATAATAATAATAGTTTTTACATATACCATGGTGTTTTTCCTGTTTATCGAATTTATTCATACTTCAAATTTCCTCTTTATGCAAACTAAAAATTTTATTAAATAAATAAATAACCTTTTCATATATAGACAATTTATGAAGTTTTGGATGTAACTGTGTTCACTTTTGTGAAGGATAAGGTGCCTCGAGCGAAAATGAAATAACCATAAAAATATCTGGAAATAGATAGAAAAATTTTTATATGAAAACATTTGCCAAATTGTATAAAAGTTCGGTTTTATGAAAATAAAATTAAAATGATAACAAGGATGGATTGAAATTATTTATGTATCCTTGCAAGTACACACAGAATGAAATACATATTGTGATAAAATTCTTATTAAAATTAGAGTAATAAATGATAACAAATCGAAAGTTCATCGAAATTCTTTTCCTTTTTAATATAGTTAAAATAAAATAATTTTGCATATTTCGATGCAATATATCGGTCCCAATATATCGGCAATTACTTCATATATTTTCTAATATAATAATTTTATTTCAATTTTTCTCGTTATACTATAATCAAATATACATTTATTTATTATTACTATATTGTATACTCTATTTCTAATGTTTCTATATCAATGTTGAATACTCTTATATATTTCTCGGTGAATGTAGTTTTCAAAATTGGCAATTTCAAAAAAAAGTAAACAAATATTTGGTTGTTGCAATTCCTTGAAAACAACACACCTCTTTTTGGAACTTCTACTTCCCAAAAAGTATTTAATCGAAGCTAAAAATAAGTTTACAGTTTGTAAGGTTTGAAGGTATTTTTTACCATCATCCAACATTTTTTTGACACAGGCGAAAAATCAAACCAATAGGCACGTTGACAAATCAGCTGTTTAAAATGAGAATAAATAATTAACAATGGGTGTAAACACTTTCAAATGACTTATTTGAAATGAATCATTTGCGGCCAGTGTAAACGCCATATTAAAGTTTCTGTAAAACGGGTATTGCACATCAGACTTGATCGTACAACTTGTGCGTTGAAATGCGATATTTATGCCGTCTCATCTGTAATAGGAATATTTGCTGGTCTAACGACAAATCGGATAGAAATGGAAGTGAAAACATTGTTTAAATGCATGCATTATTTTATTTTGTATTTCATTTTGTCGTTTTAGAGGGGCGTGTTCAAAATAATGTCCATTGTATAGAATGAGTAATAGCAAGCGATATCACACAAGTTGTACAACCAAGTCTTATGTGTAATACCTGCTTAACACAACCCATGACTAAAACACAGCAGTGAGAAAAAATGCAACATTGCAGAAAAAACTCAAGCTACAAAAATGTCAAATAGACATAAATTCTTTTCATTGGCTTCTCATAAGTGAACGCAACGTTTTTAAAATCTCGTATATTAAAAATTTAAAAAAGTTTAAATATGGAAAATAATTTGTCTTCAAGTACAATGGAGCGTGCGGAAAACGTGAAGCAAGTGGAAATGGTGGTAAGTCCTGACTTAGATGTACCAATTCCACCGATAGCTACTATTGAGGAGAATCCAACGTCTGTGGAAAATATGGTGCACATTCCAGAGGTGGGAACCTCGGGTAAGCCATAACTTACTTTCATTTTTCTTGTTTTAATATTTAATAGAATATTTTTTATTGTTTGCAAAAGCTGTTAAAAAACAAATACACAAACCACTAAGCCATCTTTGTCCTGAGCGTTACCGGAATGTAGATATTAAAACAGTTTTTCCTGATTTTGAAGAAGGAGAACCTATAAACTTTTTTCGACTTTTACCACCACCATATGTATTAAATCCAATAAGTGTGGTAAGAAATAAAAGAATGAAGATTGAGGTTAAAAAAAGTCTAATTAAACATCAAAAAATGTTACAGCTTAAACGCCAACGGGGCATGTCTGAAGAAGATGGTGTAGCTCAAAATATGTGTCATGAGAGTACAAGTAGCAGTAATGGCAACTTTAAAGGTAATGGTAAACAAACAAACAAACCCAAGAAGCGTCAAAAGCGCATTGGTAGCGCCCCCAAAGATAATGGTTTACCTCCATTAGGTGTACGTCTTAGGAGCGCCAGCGGCAACTCCGGAAAAACTGGTGTATCACAAAAAACGCGTCGCAAGCGCACTAGTACCTAAAATTATCAGGACTTCGAATAGTACTACAGTACATATAAAGCATTTTTTTTTTATTTTTAGTAAGATTTTACATTTAAATTTTGTTAATGAAAGCATAACCAGAGTATCTACAGTAAATACTATATGGAATGTTTTTTACAGCAAATTTTCTAATCACTTATAAATTTTAAAAATGTTACTATTGTCTTTATCTAATAAAAATACACGAATAAAATAATCATACAATATATAGAGCAATGTATATACTCTGTTTAATTAAGTCCTGGAATTAAATACCGTGAAGGAGCATCAAACCATATTTTATAGATGTCCAAAGTTAGAATACAAATTGTTTACAATTTATAAAAAGTTTCTTCCTTCCGATAAATGTGACGACACAGAATGTTCGTCCCTATTTGCTGGGGTATAGTCAATGGCGGGTCCCGTGAATATTTCTAACAATGTATATCAACGTCACTACAATACGTACATATATTAACTCGTTCTATAGTTGACTTCGGAAATTTTTGTCATTTTTTCCGTTGTTATGTTAGTTCCAGTCATTTTATTTTGAAAGGTTGTTAAAAATTTTTTATATGGATGGATGACGTATTCACGCCCAGTGGGAGATTATATATAACGCGGTCAGGCCTGAACATGATTTTTTTGAAAAAAGGATCATGTAAACATTTGACGTTTGAGAATCAACTTTAGCAAGGTTAGTTCACTAAAGTTCGTAATGTAAACGTAGTATTAGTCTAGAGATAAGCGAGCACTAATGAATAAAAGTTTTATTTGTACCGTCATTTTAAAAGCTTCTAGAGATGTCTTCAGTTGCGATATGTAATATAAGCATGTACATACCAATCAAAAAATGATGACTATTAGTAGATTGATACTATACTTTACAAGAGTGTTTGAATTTTTGAGATATCTTCTTGGTTAGATATGCCTTAATAAGAAGAAGATGCCTCTTGATTTGCATCGACGAAATCCAGGTTAGTTCATCATCTTTAAATAGCGATATGGCATTTCAGGTAGATTTTTCACATTTTATTTTTAATTTACTGGGCTCTTTCAACTTATCGGTTTTAAAATCAATTTGATTAATATCTTGACTGATATACTTTGAAGCCATTTTGTTCTCGTTTATACAAATATTCGCATGAATAATATTACTATTCTTATTTTTCTGAAGTTTATTTTATAGATATTTACTACTATATATAAATAAAACATTTCGGTGATACTATTTATGGGATTAACAGATTACACATACCGCTGCACACAAAAAGACTTCAATTAAAATAGTACATTATTTATATAAATCCACTGTGGAAGGTAAATAATAGGTTCATAAATTTCATTGGAATGATAGTGAACATAATCGAAGCGAAATTTATTGGTTAGTAGGCAACTATGCGAAAAGTAAATAAATTTGCCGGGTTTAATAAAAAATCGAAAAGGAAAGATTTTATAAAATCGAACAGATAATAAATGGCATCAATATATATATTGTGTATCAGTACTAAATTACGAGTAGCACAAATAGTATCTTTTAATAGGATTTGTTTTTTTTTCTTTTTGTGTGAAATAAAGATATAATTGCCTTTTTAAACTAAAACATTGCGTGGCTATAGGAATAGATCTATGTTATTCTAAAATATTTTAAGTGAGTATTTTGCAAGTGATTTATTAATGTATGCGTAAATAACTGGGAATTGAAATCAATATAAGCCTTAGTTATATTTAAAATATAATTAATATTATTATGTATTTAAAATATATATATATCAATATCAACTTCATTGTATGTAAGTTTTTAGCTTAATATCACAATATGATATGCTGTTCGTACGGCTTAGTATCTTTGTTTGAAATATTTATTTAAATAAATTTTTAAAATTTTTAAATTTAAATATAACAAATGTACAAATGTTATTTTTATTTATGTATATATACCCATCAACTTAAATTTAAAATATTTTACACAAGATAAGGCAGGAGAATACTACGTTTTTACGTTCTTTACATTCCTTATTTTTTACCATAAATAAAATTAATTAAAATAATTAAATCTCAATTCGTAAATATGTCCTTCTAAAATTCAGAAAAATATTTTTTATAAATTTATTTATAATCTATTTATATCTGTATATTACAGATACATTAATAATATAACAAAAAGCGGCTTTTGGAAATTTTTTAGGTACTGTACATTATATTTTTTTAATGCGTGAATATTGTCGTTACATTTATCAAAAATATTACTGTCAAACGGTTTTCTTTTTTTAGATACAAAATATTTTGAGATACTTTTGTTTGCCTTAGGAAGTTTGAAATATTTTCTCAATTATTAATTATGCTTATATGAATGCTTTCTTTTGAGAGAGTATATAAGTCTCTATTTCAATTTTAATCTCGCTGCTATGATTGATGAGTATTCAGCTATTTATTTTTCCTTTTAATTTGTATTAATCATTATAATCTGTAAGTTTAAACATATGACATCACACAAAAATGTATTGTTGTTAGGAGTAGATAAATTATGGAAAGCATTGTGTAATGATTATCATCTACGTATGTCTACTTTTATTACACAATTTGTTTTTGTTGTGAAAATATAATTTTAATCCAAATATAATAATCATTGTACACATTATATGCCTGAGAGTAATAAAAATTTGGTTTATAATACAAAAGAAGATATTATGTGTATTAATATCTTTAAGCGAAAATGCGTAAACTCATTTCTAATGTATTCATCTTATGTACATCCTATGCAGAAAAATATAATAAACTCATCACTGAAGAATAATAAGTAAGATTCATATTGCAAGTAGCAAGTGAATATTATCAAAAAGGTTCAGGCTATTCAAAAGAAGTATTATTCATTAAGATATACTTACACATAAAGAGCAAACAAAATTTATATGCTAAAAATGATGATGTCCACTAAAAATGGTCCACTAAGTTTCTGAGATATAGATTCGTAATATATAAAAACAATATTTTGTAAAAAAGGTCCACAAAAATATATGTTTGTCCTAAACAGTAATCCTCTCAGATCAATATTTTTATCAAAATGGCTTACTTCCCTAAACAGCGTTACTTTTTTACGGATATAGTATTATATTTTTACCATAGTTAGAGTTTTGTCTTGTATTAGAAAAAATTTTATTGTAAAAAGAAGAAATAAGTATTAGTCATACATATTGAGTATAGCTAAACTTACGTTAATCGATTGATGACTAAGAACTGAAGATTTTTGATTTTTAAAATCATAAGAATTACTTTACGATACCAAATAGCTATCTTCAGTGATCTCTAGAATTAATTTATATTAGTCTGTATATAATTTTATAAAAGCTTTAAATTTGTTGAAAATTTAAAGTAACTAAAAACTTCAAGTGTTCAAACAGTAACCAAGAAGCAACAACAAAAAAATTTATTTAATTTATTGAAATTTCTTTTCGTCATAAGATGCGTCAAATTCGACAATAAAAATCAACCCTAAAAATCTTCAAGTCATAATAATAAAGCTTAATGCGGTACCTGATACAGTTTTAATTAATAAATGAGCTTGTCATTACTTCAAATATGTTAGATATAATGATCTTAGATTGAAGTATTTTTGTAATCGTCTGAATTATCTGTTATAATATTATTTCAGGTTTCCACGAGGTTTCCTATAATAATTAAAGAGATTTAATGACTATACGATATGATGAAAATCGAATTCTCTTATAGAGATGCTCCGTAGAGATATCAGTCTTGCTGTAGGTTTACTCACAGCCCATTGTATTCTAGGTAACCATGCTAGGAGACTTACTCTCCCTTTCAACCATATTTGCCGCAGTTGTGGTGAGGATGATGAAAGCGTCTCCCACCTACTTTGCTTCTGTACAGCACATGCACGGAAACGCTTTAAAATTTTAGGGGCATTTAAGAATCTTTTGGACCTCTCTTTAAATAGCATCATAAGCCTTGACAAAGGATCTAGATAGTTTTAATACTTGGGTATTTAATAATATGATAGCACAATAGGACTTTGGACCTAAGTGGATCCCATCAGGATCGCTGGTATAACTTAACCTTACTTAATGACTGCCTATCTGAGAATATCAAAATAGTCGTATATTTTTTCTAAAGCATTTTTCATCACTGATTTCCATGAACTCAACTTAAACTAGAGCTTTTATGACAGTTTCTGTTAAAAAATATTCTATTTAAATATTTTGATCAACTTTAATGAGTCAGAAAAAGACCTTAAAGCAGCAATATATATTATAAAGTTCAAATTATATTAAATATTATTTGCTAGATGTATTAACTTGTAATTTATTCCAGATCCTAGAGCGTTGTTAACACTATATTTTTTTTTGGATTTTCTTAAAATTTTTTTTGGCTTGCTTAAGAATTACTTGTTAAAGTAATAAAAAAGATACCATCCTTTGTGCAACTTTACCAGTTCTATTATTTTGTATGTGATTTTCAATCACACTTAACGACCGCCGACCAAAATGTTTTACTCAATAAAACAAAAAAGCAGACAATTTTACAAGAGGAAACATAACCAAAATGGTTGTTTACAGAACGGAAATGAAAATATATTGCAATCCATGCGCAAAAAGCATAAAATTATATACAAAAACAATGTATTGTACATATGTAAGAGGCAACATTTATATTGAAAAACAATCTGTAATTCTCAGTTTTTTGCAGTTATTTTGGCAAATTGGTTTTTGGTGAAATTTTTTCAACAATTTGCTGTACATCATAAATTACTACAAAATTTTACCCATATAAAGATAGTTATAAAAAACCAATATATAGAGAATAATAAAAAAAAATTTAAAAATTGGATGTATTGTTGTATCTCAGATATTTTATAATCAGCTTTAATGCTAGACCATAACGATTCCAATAGTACGAGTAGTAGCAGTAATAATGCCTTTAAATTGTAACCAATATCTGCAAGTGAAAAAAAATTCTTGATACTTTTAAGCGTTTTAACTATGCTTATATGGATTGAATAAAAAGCAGTTCCAAACATATACCTATAGTACAACTCTAAAATATGAAATCGGACATAGTCCTTCATTTCATCTCGACTTTTTAAATTACTTTTTATTAGATGTACGTATTATTATTATTATTGAGTAAGGGATC